ACCCCTGCCGCGCTGAATCAGCGCTGTGTGCGATGGTGACCAGGGTAAAAGGTGTGTCTGGGGGATTCAAGGGGTGGTCACAGAAGGAAACACTGCAGTGCAGACGTTTCCTGGCCCTGAGGATCAGTTCCCAAGATCTGGAGTACATCTTTGTGTGCTGTAAAATGTTATTGTATCTAAATGCAATTTGTCATTCTTGAATTGTGTGACATGGTAATGACTATGGAAATGATGAAAAGTCAGGTTTGGCACCCGTTTGATGGGTATATTCTTAATGCATGCATAAGCTGAGATAAGCTCAAACAACGGCTGTCTTGCTTTAGTCCTTTGCAGGACATCTTGTTTCTATTCAGGTGGCTGCAATGAAACAAGAGGCTGCCTCCAATGTGCCATCAGGGTGCAGAGGCTTCCCTGGGACTCCCTCCTGCCATGCATCATTGATGTGTGATGCTAAAGCTGTTTGCATAGAACACATGGGAACCAGACCTGAGCAAGGAAGGTCAAAGTGAAGTGAAAGCAGCAGAGCTCATCTCAAGCTTTGTTCACAGTTCTGCAACAGGAGCATAAGTGGAAATTGGGATGGTTGTTAGGACCTTGCTCCTTTCTGATGTGAAAATTGTGCAATGAGGAATAACACTTTAAAGAATCTGGTGTTCTCTCTTGTAAGAGAAACAAATGAATCCAGGAATCCCATTCAAAGACCGTATCTCTCAGTGCATTGTTCTGCTCAGAAACATTATTGTCTGCGTTTTTGTTTTTCTTCTTTCCAGAGCACTGTGGAGAAAGTGGTGGCTGGCTCTGTCTCCGTTCCTCAGGTGGTCCCATTTGGAATCCCTCTTCCAGGGAAGGCTAACCATGAAGGAGACACAAATGCTCTTGTAGAAATGAAATCAGGTCTGAGTAAGAGCCCTGAATCCAGGTAAAAACTTCTGTGTTCATGTGGAACATTGAGCCTCCAGACTTTGTTTGCATTTCACGATGATTTTTATGAGGGTGCATTTCATTAAGGAACTTAGAAAATTAACCACCATGTTTAAATACACCAACTCGACTTGCACTGAATTCTATGCATTCAAACAGTATTGCTGACATATGAGCTGTCTCATACATGGCAGCAGTCTCGATTGTTTTCAAGATAAAGTTCATAAGCCGTTGCATTTTGCTTTGACTGCAAAAACCAGTGTATGAAAGTACAGTATATTTGATTAATTTCTCATCCACGTCCCCTTGTGCATCATTGGCCTTCACCCACAGCCCAGAGAGCTGGGCTTCCTCAGCCTGGAGAAGAAAAGGCTCCTTAAGGGGAGACCTCAGAGCAGCTCCCAGAGCCTAAAGGGGCTGCAGGAAACCTGGAGAAGGGCTTTGCACAAGGGCCTGCAGGGGCAGGCCAAGGGGAATGGCTTGAACCTGCCAGAGGGGAGACTGAGATGAGCTCTTAGGCAGCAGTTCTTCCCTGTGAGGGTGCTGAGGCGCTGGCACAGGGTGCCCAGAGAAGCTGTGGCTGCCCCATCCCTGGCAGTGTTCAAGGCCAGGTTGGACACAGGGGCTTGGAGCAAGCTGCTCCAGTGGAAGGTGTCCCTGCCCATGGCAGGGGTTGGAACTGGATGAGCTTTAAGGTCCTTTCCAACACAAACCAGTCTGGGATTCTGTGACTTTGTTCAATACCTTTAGCACTGGATGTAATTCTTAAATGATGAGCAAAATGAACCATAGGTTCCTTCAAGTGCCAGATATGTTAGTAAGGGTAAGACTGGAAAAGTAAATTGTGTTTTCTTCGCAGTGTCAGGAAACCTGACCAAATTCAGGTTCCTCTTCATGCTGCAACAACAACCACAGCATCTTCAGGACCTGCGCATGCATCTTGTTCCAGTGCTAACTAGTGCGGTTAGTTAGTAACTACTGCTTGAGTCATAGCTATAGAATCATGCCTCAAACTTAGAACAGTGGCAGGCGTGGGCATATATGTAAGAGCACCACATTTTTACAGTGGTGCCTGTAACTGTCTTCTCTCTGGCTTTTTAATGTTACTGAAAACTAACTTAGTACCTTTCTGGCCTAGTTTTAGTTGTCAGTAACGTCACTCTTTCCAGTTGTCTTCCTGTTTTCTCAATAGCCTTTGAGCTGTAAGGATCGGTACCAGCAGCTGTGGCTATCAGCTTCAATGTTTCTAGTGACTTTGCTGCTTCAGACTCTACCCAGGAAAATACTGAAAACCTCTTGAGAGCCTTAATGACATGATGTGATGTGGCTTTTTCCTCAGATGGCACCACGTCTTGAATGCAGACATCTGCTGCCAGTGACTACACCCGCTTGCATTGGATGGGAGTCACCAATAGCTCCACAGGTGCAGCCCCAAACCAACATCTGCATAAAGGTAATTGAGAATAAATCTAACAAAGGAGCAATTTACCTCCATGCATGCATGTTTCTAACAGGTGACTTCTGTAAAAATAGTTTGATCCAGCTTGGGTTGCTCTAATTGCATTGTGAGAGCTTTAAGGGTTAGTAGGATTCAAATCACCTTGACTAGAAATAAGCATTAAAGGTAAACCGTGTAAGCTGAGGAAGGCATCTTGAAGAGCAAAGGAGTCAGTTGTGTGAAAGACAGGACATGTGTACTTGTGTTCAGTAGGGAGGTATTCTGTGATTCTGTCATTTACAGCCTTAATATTACTGCATTTTAAGTTTCTTAAATACGTCCTCATTACTCTGCTTCTCTCAGTTGATTGTAAGTGCTTGGCACAGATGGGCTGGCAGGACTGGGGCAGTGGGGAGATGCCCAAAAGGCTCAAGCGCCGCATTAGTGATCCAGAAGTGCTGGTGGGCCTAACTAGACAAAATCTGGCCTCCAGAATGCTCCTTACCCAAGGGTATTGGCCCAGGTAGAGGCTGTCCTTCACCCTTGCAGTCAGGGGAAAGGGTGTGAGAAGGAGTGAACTGATACTGCATGTCCACAACTGGTAGATTCTAGGCACTGCCGCAGACTGGGTGTTTTCTGGCAGTCCTGATGCAGGTGCAAAGGCAGTCCTGAACTATTTGGTGGCAACCATCAAAACAGCAGACTCATGATTCTCAGCTCTGGTGGAATCTGGCTTGTGAGACACAGTGACCGTGCATGGGCACCCTCATGGGGATAAGAATCATTTTCCTTGCAGACACTGGACTTGCTGCTTTGTGTGAGTGCAGTGGCTAAGCAAACTGGCACTAGTCTATAGAAACATCTGGAGGTATTGATGCTGCATCTGCTGAGGGAGCTGTACCATAGTTTAAAATGAATTGTCAGCAGGATCCATGGATTTGTGATGGACAGGCACTATGGCCTAACTAGCACCTGAAGCCCACGGCACAGACTTGAAGGATCTCTTCTATCTGCAGGGCTGAATAAGCACAGCACTTTGTAAGATCAAGTCCTCTTCTTATTAGTGTTGTTGACAGTTTGCAGATACCATGTGAAATGCATTCTTTCTCTGCTTAAAAGGGCAAAGTAATTTGTCAGGCCTGTGGCACAGGAAATCTTCACCGTAAACACTGTGTGACTTGTGCAAGCAAGCTGCTTGAAACACAGATGCTGAGGCTTCTTCCATCAGTCACAGTAGGGTTAATCAAATCAAAGCACAACATTCTTTTTCTCTGGAAAACTGAAGTCATAGCCCTGTGTCCCTGTTATAAAAGCAGAGATGCCCTCCCTCATGGGCTATTCAAGGCCCATACTCCCACAGATCATCCATCACAAACGTCCAGCTAAACAGAAGCTTACGTTTGAGTTTCTCCTGTGGAAGTCAGGATTGTTTGTGCCATTATGAAAGCTCAGAAGGCTCTTAGAAAATGGGTAGTCTTGGCTCCAAGGGAGTTTTTTTGTGTTCAGATTATTTTCAATTGCAGTAGAAAACTTGAGTGTCTACATCAGGAGGACAATTTTTGTGGTTTTCCATTATTTTGTGAAAATATTCTTTCATACTATTTTTTTTAATCTCCATTTGCATCTCCATCTCTACGTCCATACAGCTTCTCTACTTGGATTTGGCTGTGAGCGTGTAATGGATGGGAACCTCGCCGAGAGTTGATTCCCTCTCATGACAGAGACATAACACAGTGTGATTTTGTCACAGTGCATTTTGCAGAGTGCACATGTGTATGTTCATGGTGACTGTTTGTCAGAAAGAGGCAGGAAACCATGAGGGTGCAGGTGTTTAAGAGCTTCCCACTTGGGCAGGCCGGGGCACCTGGCCAACGCTCTGGGTGCGGCCAACACTGAGATGATGAGAAACTGCACGGCCCCACGAGTAAACAGTGACAGCTGGCATAAAGCCCCTTGTGTTTCTAAGGGCATAAAAGCAGGAGCCTCTTGTAGCCAAATCTGAGACCTCACCTATGGGTGGATGCGCCTTGTAGGAACTTTCCCAATTACCTGAGACTCCCAGCATCAGCTGCAACAGGGCTTCCCAGCTGAAGTGTGGGCCTGGAGGATGGTTGGGTTCTGACTGCTGATGTGTTTCTTCAATCTCTGTTCTCTCTATGCAGTATTGATCTGGTGCATTGCCAGTTGTCCTCTGTACTTTACTTATATTTTTATACACAATTTGTATTATTTTACTTATTTACTATACAGGGATATCTGCCCAGTTGGCTTTAGTGTGCTTGTTTCATCCACTGCATGATACATAGCTAGTGTGTGATCGTTTTGTTGAGTACCCTGCCTGTCAGCAGAACACTTGTGTACCCAGCAACCTCCCTGCCTCTCTTACAGACACCAGGTCCTGAGAACAGAGATTGAAGAAACACATCAGCAGTCAGAACCCAACCATCCTCCAGGCCCACACTTCAGCTGGGAAGCCCTGTTGCAGCTGATGCTGGGAGTCTCAGGTAATTGGGAAAGTTCCTACAAGGCGCATCCACCCATAGGTGAGGTCTCAGATTTGGCTACAAGAGGCTCCTGCTTTTATGCCCTTAGAAACACAAGGGGCTTTATGCCAGCTGTCACTGTTTACTCGTGGGGCCGTGCAGTTTCTCATCATCTCAGTGTTGGCCGCACCCAGAGCGTTGGCCAGGTGCCCCAGCCTGCCCAAGTGGGAAGCTCTTAAACACCTGCACCCTCATGGTTTCCTGCCTCTTTCTGACAAACAGTCACCATGAACATACACATGTGCACTCTGCAAAATGCACTGTGACAAAATCACACTGTGTTATGTCTCTGTCATGAGAGGGAATCAACTCTCGGCGAGGTTCCCATCCATTACACGCTCACAGCCAAATCCAAGGAGAAGCTGTATGGACGTAGAGATGGAGATGCAAATGGAGATTAAAAAAAATAGTATGAAAGAATATTTTCACAAAATAATGGAAAACCACAAAAATTGTCTTCCTGATGTAGACACTCAAGTTTTCTACTGCAATTGAAAATAATCTGAACACAAAAAAACTCCCTTGGAGCCAAGACTACCCATTTTCTAAGAGCCTTCTGAGCTTTCATAATGGCACAAACAATCCTGACTTCCACAGGAGAAACTCAAACGTAAGCTTCTGTTTAGCTGGACGTTTGTGATGGATGATCTGTGGGAGTATGGGCCTTGAATAGCCCATGAGGGAGGGCATCTCTGCTTTTATAACAGGGACACAGGGCTATGACTTCAGTTTTCCAGAGAAAAAGAATGTTGTGCTTTGATTTGATTAACCCTACTGTGACTGATGGAAGAAGCCTCAGCATCTGTGTTTCAAGCAGCTTGCTTGCACAAGTCACACAGTGTTTATGGTGAAGATTTCCTGTGCCACAGGCCTGACAAATTACTTTGCCCTTTTAAGCAGAGAAAGAATGCATTTCACATGGTATCTGCAAACTGTCAACAACACTAATAAGAAGAGGACTTGATCTTACAAAGTGCTGTGCTTATTCAGCCCTGCAGATAGAAGAGATCCTTCAAGTCTGTGCCGTGGGCTTCAGGTGCTAGTTAGGCCATAGTGCCTGTCCATCACAAATCCATGGATCCTGCTGACAATTCATTTTAAACTATGGTACAGCTCCCTCAGCAGATGCAGCATCAATACCTCCAGATGTTTCTATAGACTAGTGCCAGTTTGCTTAGCCACTGCACTCACACAAAGCAGCAAGTCCAGTGTCTGCAAGGAAAATGATTCTTATCCCCATGAGGGTGCCCGTGCACAGTCACTGTATCTCACAAGCCAGATTCCACCAGAGCTGAGAATCATGAGTCTGCTATTTTGATGGTTGCCACCAAATAGTTCAGGACTGCCTTTGCACCTGCATCAGGACTGCCAGAAAACACCCAGTCTGCGGCAGTGCCTAGAATCTACCAGTTGTGGACATGCAGTATCAGTTCACTCCTTCTCACACCCTTTCCCCTGACTGCAAGGGTGAAGGACAGCCTCTACCTGGGCCAATACCCTTGGGTAAGGAGCATTCTGGAGGGCAGATTTTGTCTAGTTAGGCCCACCAGCACTTTTGGATCACTAATGCGGCGCTTGAGCCTTTTGGGCATCTCCCCACTGCCCCAGTCCTGCCAGCCCATCTGTGCCAAGCACTTACAATCAACTGAGAGAAGCAGAGTAATGAGGACGTATTTAAGAAACTTAAAATGCAGTAATATTAAGGCTGTAAATGACAGAATCACAGAATACCTCCCTACTGAACACAAGTACACATGTCCTGTCTTTCACACAACTGACTCCTTTGCTCTTCAAGATGCCTTCCTCAGCTTACACGGTTTACCTTTAATGCTTATTTCTAGTCAAGGTGATTTGAATCCTACTAACCCTTAAAGCTCTCACAATGCAATTAGAGCAACCCAAGCTGGATCAAACTATTTCTACAGAAGTCACCTGTTAGAAACATGCATGCATGGAGGTAAAGTGCTCTTTTGTTAGATTTATTCTCAATTACCTTTATGCAGATGTTGGTTTGGGGATGCACCTGTGGAGCTATTGGTGACTCCCATCCAATGCAAGCGGGTGTAGTCACTGGCAGCAGATGTCTGCATTCAAGACGTGGTGCCATCTGAGGAAAAAGCCACATCACATCATGTCATTAAGGCTCTCAAGAGGTTTTCAGTATTTTCCTGGTTAGAGTCTGAAGCAGCAAAGTCACTAGAAACATTGAAGCTGATAGCCACAGCTGCTGGTACCGATCCTTACAGCTCAAAGGCTATTGAGAAAACAGGAAGACAACTGGAAAGAGTGACGTTACTGACAACTAAAACTAGGCCAGAAAGGTACTAAGTTAGTTTTCAGTAACATTAAAAAGCCAGAGAGAAGACAGTTACAGGCACCACTGTAAAAATGTGGTGCTCTTACATATATGCCCACGCCTGCCACTGTTCTAAGTTTGAGGCATGATTCTATAGCTATGACTCAAGCAGTAGTTACTAACTAACCGCACTAGTTAGCACTGGAACAAGATGCATGCGCAGGTCCTGAAGATGCTGTGGTTGTTGTTGCAGCATGAAGAGGAACCTGAATTTGGTCAGGTTTCCTGACACTGCGAAGAAAACACAATTTACTTTTCCAGTCTTACCCTTACTAACATATCTGGCACTTGAAGGAACCTATGGTTCATTTTGCTCATCATTTAAGAATTACATCCAGTGCTAAAGGTATTGAACAAAGTCACAGAATCCCAGACTGGTTTGTGTTGGAAAGGACCTTAAAGCTCATCCAGTTCCAACCCCTGCCATGGGCAGGGACACCTTCCACTGGAGCAGCTTGCTCCAAGCCCCTGTGTCCAACCTGGCCTTGAACACTGCCAGGGATGGGGCAGCCACAGCTTCTCTGGGCACCCTGTGCCAGCGCCTCAGCACCCTCACAGGGAAGAACTGCTGCCTAAGAGCTCATCTCAGTCTCCCCTCTGGCAGGTTCAAGCCATTCCCCTTGGCCTGCCCCTGCAGGCCCTTGTGCAAAGCCCTTCTCCAGGTTTCCTGCAGCCCCTTTAGGCTCTGGGAGCTGCTCTGAGGTCTCCCCTTAAGGAGCCTTCTCTTCTCCAGGCTGACCCAGCCCAGCTCTCTCAGCCTTAGATGTTTATCTCCTGGGCTGGGGTGAAGGCCAATGATGCACAAGGGGACATGGATGAGAAATTAATAATATATACTATACTGTCACAAACTGTTTTTTGCAGTCAAAGCAAAATGCAACGGCTTATGAACTTGATCTTAAAAGTAATCAAGACTGCTACCATGTACAATATAGCTCATATCTCAGCAATATTGTTTGAATGCACAGAATTCAGTGCAAGTTGAGTTGGTGTATTTAAACATGGTGGTTAATTTTCTAAGTTACTTAATGAAATGCACCCTCATAAAAATCATGAAATGCAAACAAAAGTCTGGAGGCTCAATGTTCCACATGAACACGTAAGAGAAGTTTTTACTTGGGTTCAGAGCTCTTACTAAGACCTGACTTCATTTCTACAAGAACATTTGTGTCTCCTTCATGGTTATCCTTCCCTGGAAGAGAGATTCCAAGTGAGATCACCTCAGGAACGGAGACAGAGCCAGCCACCACTTTCTCCACAGTGCTCTGGAAAGAAGAAAAACAAAAACGCAGACAATAATGTTTCTGAGCAGAACAATGCATTGAGAAATAGTCTTTGAATGGGATTCCTGTCTTTCTTTGTTTCCCTTACAAGAGAGAACACCAGATGCTTTAAAGTGTTATTCCTCGTGGCCT